AAAAATAATGTTTCCACATTAAGTTTAATATAAGAATGACACTTACCCTTTGAATTTCCCCAATTCTATTGGGAAACAAAAATCTAATCAAAACCTGATGTAAATGCAGGCATGATTAGCACATTAGCATAAATCCCAGAGTGAACATTAGACTCTTGAAGGCAATCTGATGCAACTCTTTTAAAGCTTTGTAGGAAACTGTTTCCTGCAAATAATGTTATTAAGATAAACAGCTTACTCATTCATATGCTAAGGTTTCCCTTTATCAATGTAGTGGTCACTGTGAGAGGAATAGAGAAAAAATCATTAATATTGATGATTTCTGCCTTTTTTTTTTTTTTCAAAAAGAAGTTCAAATCACATTGTGGCTGTTATGACCAGTGTCCTCAATGTGCACCATTCAAAGATAGTAGAGCAAATGGCGACTGTATTCATTTCAAGTCTCAGAAAAGATTCTTTGAAAGAAGGACCTAAAGGCCTCTGTCTAAAAAGGATACATAAAAAGGTCAGAAGGGTACGGTGTTACAGAGAAGTAGTTTTAAAAACATTGCCAGGTTGCTTTACAGCTGTGTAAAGGCGCAGTATGCCTTTGTGAAGGACAGGTGTACCCAAAGAAACAAAAAAACAACAAAAAAAAATACACAAAGTCAATAGTTTTAAAGGGACTGTTGCCTGCCATAGTGTAGATGCCCCATTATTTGTCTGCCCTCTGATCTTCCCTCCTGTTCTGCTCTTGAATCAGAAAAAACTAATAAACACAAATAGCCTAAGTTGCACTTTTCCAAGTCAGGACTATTTCATCCATTAGTATTATTGTATTTATATTGTACAGATTTCAGAATAAAAAGGTGCTTCTCGAATCAAGAGGAAAGGTCTAGAGCTTTTTTTCTACAGAAATTACCTCCCAATTACTTCCAATGACCTCATCACTCTTGACACACTCTGGTCAGACACAGCAGCCACTTAGGAAAATTGCAGACAATTTAAGCTTTGTCGCTCTCTTCACCAGGTATGAAATGCATATAGGCATTTTTTTTTTTTGCATTTTAACATTCACAGCATAACATATATTTTAACATTCATAGCTTCACACTTACTGCATGTATTATGACATTATGCACATTAAATAGTGGAAGATGTGCCCTTTGATCAAAACCTGCAGACTCTTCCAGGAAAATGACAATATTTCATCCAGCATTATTTAGCAAGAAAACCACCTGCAACATATGCATATATACTTATTTATTCTTTTTTTTAACCACTTAGGTTGTTTCAGAGCAGAAAGTGCAGAGTATTGATTATATAAATGGAAATAAAAAGATAGAACCTCAACAAAAAGTAGAGTGGAATCAAAGCTTGCACTAACTTGCATAACTGGCTGCTCTCTGAATGATGACCCACAGCATCAAGGCTTCATTAACAAATACTAAAACTGTGTAATACTCCTGCTAGGGGCAACTGTGGGAAAAATCCATCTGTATTCTCAAAAAGTGCTGTGTGTTTTTTTTCATCAATCTTTGCATTGCTACCTTAGCTATAAGGTCTTAAGGGAGGGGAAAGAAAAATGTTTCCTGGAACTCCTTGGAAAGGGAAGTTTAAAAACTGCTGCAGCACACTCAAATCATCTTTAAGCCTCAAATCACCACTGGCTTTACCATATAAAATTCAGGTTCAGTTCAGAGAAACATCCGCTTTTCAGTGAAAAACAATTTAGCCACCAATAAACTTCTCTTGAGCTCTCAATTTCCTCTTGCCAGGTTAACCACAGCCTAATGTCTAACTTCAATACCCTAATCACTAAACACTAGATCCCCATAACCATGACCCACCACTGGGCACAGCCTCTGCTTACTGAGGCTGAAGAATAGAGATGGGAGTTTTCCACCAAGTCATTTCTTCAGTTCTTCAGTATGATCTTCAGTTGTTTTTTTTTTTTTTTTTTTTTTTCCCTCTGGGGGGGGCACATTTTTTTTCTGTACTCTCAAGAACTCTCAGTTTTAAAAACCAGCAACCAGAAACTGTTTTTGGAAGGTTCTCGTGCTAGGTGGCATAACTACAAATGGTCTTATTTATTCTAGAAAATCAATGCATTCTGTAGCTGCCTTTTATACAAAAGCTAGCTGGTGTATATTTTCTCAAGATTTTTGGAGTATATGTTCTAAAGATTTTGCTCAAGGGAACCTGTTTTCTGAAAAAATACCATGGAAACCTTTTTCTATTGACAAAGTTTTTAACTAGAAAACACAACAAGGGTGAAGAAGGTATAAAATTGAAAGAAAGAAAGAAGGAAAATGCAGAAAAGGGAAAGCGATTGAAAACATGACATATACAGCAGCCTTTTCTTTGCCCCCCCCCCTTTTTTCTTTTTTCCTAATGAGAAGAAAGTTTTTAAAGTTGAAAAGTTGACAGAAAAAATGAATTTTGCTCTAGTCAATTCTACTGCTAACCTGTTATTAGAGATGACTTTTTAATTCACAGCTTCTATGCATGTTTTCTTTGACTTTCCTTTCTGAATCATTGAGAATTGCTATCCTGCCTAAAGTCAAGAGCACTGTTCTTGTTCAAAGCAAGGTAAATCTGCAGGAATTCATATATCACTTCATTCTGCACTAGAAGTCAGTACAGTGAAAGATTAAGATGCATTTCCAAATTAGTCAAAAACCTTTCTGATACCAGTGAAAGTTGCTAAATCCCAACATATCAGACTCTTCTAGCAGACCAATAACTTGGCAGAGGTTTAAAAAATGTGAGGGCTGTTGACACAGCATTTTAATTCGTTTGTTTGCTTACTTCCATTCTCTCCTAAAATAACGTTATCTATTTTAAGGATTTAATAAACTGTGCATAAGAGAAGGAAAGAGAGAATGTTTTCTTAACTACTGCCCCTCTGCTTCAAAGAATGAGGATTTTGCCTCAGACACCAATGACTGCATTCAACCCAATCTATATGCTTACTTTCCCAGGAAATCAGCTCATCTCATTTTCAGAGATATTTTTGCAAGAATGCTATAATGAATTGTAGCTGCACATGTTACACAGAGTACATCCTGCACAGAACAGGGGTTGGATCCATCCTGCTTTATTCCAATAGGTGCTTACTACCAGCATTTATCTCACAGCTGAACATGCTTTCCTTTTGGCACAAGTAATACAATAACATCTACTATCACAGGGTTCCGTAAACATGAAATTTAACCCCATGGCTTTCTGCATTGCATGGGCACATCACAGAGGCAGAGAATCACAGTATAATTCTGGTCCAAAGGGACAGCAGGAGGTCTCAGGCCCAACCTCATTATGCCATCAGACCAGGTTTCTGTCTATTCTTGAAAACCAATAAGGATAGAAACCTGTGTCTCTTCTACAGCAAGAAAGAAACATAAAAAGAACCTAGAACTTTTACTGAACACAATTTATTAATGAACCATGAAACCTAAAATTTTGGCTCCTTATTCCTTTAATCATCCTTTAATCAAATGTAATAGGAAACATGGGAAGCTAAAATAATCAGATTTATGAAAAACCGCATCATTCTAGGTGCTATTAAAATGTAAATGTTCCACAATGCAATCATTGTGTCTTCATATATGAAGCCAATTCAACACATGCTTCTTTAATTCAGTTTGTTACAATTCTGCAATATAAACAACTATCTGTAAAGGCACAATTTCAGACAAAATGACATAATTTTCCAGCTAGCATGTTGTTTTGCTTATAGCTGGCCTAATTCCAGCACAGCCTAAACCTATTAAAAACTACTGAAGTTATTAAAACCAATTAAAACCTATTTTACTGCCTATCTTTCAAGGAGCGTAATTAGAAAGCTTTATCCACCAAGATAACAGCCCAGGAAATACTGTCTCACCCACATATAGTAAGTTACCATAAAATTTATTCAGACTCAAAAAGAAGCAGTCTTCTATCAGAAACGAGTATCACCTTTCAAAAGAAAATCAAATCATATATTGAAGCACAACACACATTTTCTCAGTTTCTTTAAACAATAAGTTATGGAAGAGGCAATTTTCATTAATAAATGATAACTTCAGCAACCAAAATGACTTATCCAGTTTCTACTGAACTGATGATATTTTTGAGAATGACTTCACTGACTGCAAGATTAAATCAATAGCTGTGCAGGGTTCTTTTCCTGTTGCTAATCAAGATTTTTCTCCCCTAAATTCACCATGGGTGTTGTCTAGCCACCTTAAGACAAAAATACGTGCATTAGCAAACCATTGCTTACATGAGTTATCCTCCAGCAAGGTGCAGGGGATTAAGTATTTGGGAATGACCTTCAGATTTTTGCCACAAGACCCTACACCTGTTGCTCCAGCTTGTCAGTTAGGGACATTCATGTCTATAAAAGTAGTTCATGGAAACCCTCAGTATTTTTTTAAAGTTTCATTGAAATTTTGAACCAAGTAATAGCTGAAGAAAGTAATACTTATAACCAAGGAAAAGTTATCTAGAGGGCTATTTTTCATCCATCGCTAAACTTACAAATAAAAGGACAAATAATAATGTAGGGTAAAAATGTGTAAGAATGGAGGACAAAGTGAGATAAAAAGGAAATGTAACAAATGTGTGAACAGAAGGCAGAGAAATAGCAATAGGAATGACTGTATTTGCTATTTGTAGATTTTCTTCAATCTCAAAGTATTCTAAAGCATCTTACGAACCCTGGATGAGATCACGCTCCGTAAGAAGAAGAAAAATGAAGACACAGAGGAACTCAGTGAATTCCAGTTTATGCATTTGTCAGGCTTGTGCTCCCATAAGAGCATGTCGGCTGCTTCCCTTCCAAAGCATGGAGGGCATGGAGACCAATATTACAGTTCACAATATAAACAAACACTTAGCAAAATGCCCATCTATCCTCTTGACAGAGGAAAGACAGAATTATCGCTGCTAGGGAGGAAAAACTTGCTTTAGGTGTTATGCAGAGTGCAGAACCAACTCACACACTTTTTCAATGCTCTTCAACACAGCCCTCATACCTGTGGCAAGGTAGATGATATGGAAAAGCATGTCCTTGCCCTGCACCACATCCACCACCACGTGGGAGAATCGACTATTGTCTTCCATGAAGTACGGGATGGGAGTAACAGGTTGGACCACCTCATGCATTAAGAAGAATTTTTGAGCATCCTGAAGATTTCTCTCAGTCAAATTGGCATACAAACCCTGGTCCATGGTGCCACACTGTAAACATGGGGAAATAACATTACTATACTTGATAGCAACAGATTTGCTCTCTAATTTACAGTAAAAGAAAATAAATACCAACAGTATATCTTGCAGTGATATTACAGTATTCCAAATTCAGGTCTCATTTTGAAACCAACCAGATTGTCTACAAAGCAACTGAGAAGTCCCCCCCACTGCCTTCCTGATGCAGGGAGAAAAACTATCAGCCAGCAAACTGCAGATACTTTTCCAGCTGGATTTCTTTACAATTTTACACTCAGCACTAAAGACATGACAATTTTTCAGAGAACATCTCATGTCTTACTACAGCCAGGGATTGAAATCCCAGGTTAAAACGTGCCGTACGGTCTGTAAGCTTTTTCATGTTCATTAAGCCAAAAATTGATGGTGTGGAGTTCTAACTATAAAGCGTTGTCCACAGTAAATATATATTTATTTTAGAACTGACTGTATTAGATAATAGAAAATTGTACTAATTTCTAATTGCAGGACACTCAGTAATTGTGAGCACAAACTCCAAGCACAAATAAAACAAAGTATTTGTCACCTAATTTGGCATCTTCACATTTAAGATTTCAGCTATGTAGAAGATGCTAAGAGTGCTTCATGTGAACAGGTAAACCCGCTGACACTTCTAGGCTATTGTATCAGGAAAGTAAGACAGGACCTCAGAGCTTCATCAAATAAGTTAGGGATATGAAAGACATGCAAAAGACATATATTTTCACCGTGTTTTACTTGCTTGTTATGATGCTTCTGCATCATAAATGATGTTATGAATCATAGCACAAACTAAATGCAATGTTTAAAGCCTTGTCACTTATTTTGGAGTAACATTGCCACGTTTTCAGCCAAAGACTAAATGATAAATTCAAATCCACAAATGTTAAGAAAAATTCAAATTAATAACTTTACAATGAGACATCAAAAATTCCTCCAATTTTCACAGACTGGAGAATAAAGAGGGAGAAAATAGTTAGGCAGGAGAGCATTACCTGTTCCTTGGGACCCAAGCACATCAGTCAGGAAAAAAAAATAAAATAAAAAAATAAAAAATATGCACAAGCCTTTCTTCAGGCATCTTCCTCCACAAATGTAGTCTCACTCTGACTCTCTTGCTACCAACTCTTCTGGCAATACAAATTTTACTACGATATATACAAATCTATAGACAAATATAGCCTGTTTTTGCAACAGAGCTTGCATAAATGGTTTTCTCTCACTTGGGCATAAGACAAAACACTGTTTAGAAAAGATAGAAGGGCTCTGGCCTGTAATTCGGAGCAGATTCAGTGCTTTATTCTCTTTTGTTTGCATAAACCACAAAAGCCCTAAAGAAAGTTGAAACTACTGGCAAATCCCCTGCGGGAGACTGGGTTTCACGCCTGCAAAGATCTCATGACCCTTCCAATAGGGGAGGCAAAGCCGCTACAGGATTCACTGCTATAAGGCTGCTGAACTTAAGAAAGTGCCCAGTGATGAAGAGGGCATGGAAGAATGACCTCCACTTAAGCATTTTGATGGAAAGTTATTGTTGTTAACTAAATTCATGTTTCTCTTTCTATTTCTCTTGTTTGAACCACTCTCTCACGAACGCTTTCCTGGTAGGAGGGATGACTGTGCAGCAGAAAAAAAAAACACACACACACACCTCTCCTTGAGACATCCTCTCCTTGTAGAAAGTTATCCTGACTGACCCACCTTGGACTAATCAGTTTTACGCTGTCAGCCAGCTTCAGAAGACAAAACACTCAAGAGGCTGACAGGTTCAAATGAGGGGCACATTGTTCCACAAATCCTTCTAATCAGGTTCTTTCAAGGAGCACAGGCAAATCTGCAATTTACCAACTCCTACACTTCTTTTTCTGCTTGTTGGGAGTTCTTTTTTTTTTTTTTTTTTCTCTCCTGTGTCAAAGAGAGTTCCTTTCCAAACCCTAACATCCTAACAACACAAATAAAACATAAAAGAGAAAAGACGGTTGATTACTCTTCAGCCAGGAGTCAACGTTACTTTGGCATATGACTATAATACTGTTTCATTTTGACAGAAGATCAAAGTTGAACCTTTATATTTTTACTCTTCAAAGCACATCTGCTTTTCAAACCACACAGTGTTGTGGAAGGGTAAAATTAAGTGTGATTAAGTATGACGAAACAAAATTGGGAGATCTCCTAGGGCTTTTTTTTTTTTTTTTTGTCATTTTAGGCTGTAAGACTGTGGTGTCCTGGAGTTGTTAACTATAAACCATATGACATTCTGAAGAAAACTCATGTAAACTACTGTTCAACCCCCACATACTTGTACCTGAAAATTAGGGTTTGGATTGGGATACGGAAGCCAAGCAGAGCGAGAGTTTTCCTGGTATTTGAAGGGTCCATTAAAGGCCTGAGTTATGGCACTCAGGTTGAAAACACAAACTGCTGAGGCTGCTATGCTGTTCCTGAAAGATAAATACAAACATTAACTTAATTAACAACATTAAGTAGTCCATTTACTGAAAACATATATATACACACATATATGTGTGTGTGTGTGTGTGTGTCAATATTTTCTCTTGTTAACTCTCCCATCCTTCAAGTAATTAGCAAAATGCATATGATAAACCAAAAGATGATATCTTAGGGAAATGATGTCTGATTTAGGCAGAGAGTTTGGACACAAAATTTTTGTCACCTTTGCCAAGTATCTGGCAGTTGGAGAAATTCAGAATTTCTTTCCTTCTGCTACTGTTCTCATCCCACAAGGCCACATTTTACTCCCACACGTAATCATATGCATCAAGAACATCTTTCTTCCAGTTCCAAAGTTGATGAGATTATTCTCAGAAGTCATTAATATTTATTTATACAATCAGCTGAGTTCGGAGTGTAAGGCTTGTTGACTCATGATGTGTCCCTAGACCCTATGGAAGCTGGGTAAGACACCAGAACAAAAAAAAAAAAAAATCTTCCAAACAACCTTGTGCAGCAATATAAGGACACAAGTCCTAGGAGAAAATAACCTGGACTACATACTTTATAAGATCACCGGTTAGAGAAATAAGCAGTTGCCAAGCAAAACAATTTCCTGCTCTGGTGTTCAAAATCTGTTAGATGACAGTGAAGTAATTCTGCGTGGTGTAAATAATACAATCAAGTGACTGCGAGAATGTTTAATACGGAAAAGTTACTTTGTGAGCAAATTAAACTTCAAAAACCTGCAGTATTTAGGAGCTCTAAAATGTATATAGAAAAAAACTCTCAACAGATCTAAAGAAGCTAAAATATGATCAGCTAGCAATACATTAAAGCCTGAAATAATTCTTTTACAACACATGTGGCACAGAAATGAGCTTCTGCATTATTCTTTTCCAAAACACGAGACAAAGGAATGAAGAGCGAAGGTTCAGGCAGCTGCACAAATTTCCATTGCCAGTAAGACTGCAGACATTACAAAGGGCTTTAGAAGGCCTGCTATTGACACTCCAAATAGATGGAAAGAAAAAATAACCCTCGGGAATCAAATCTACCAAAAACTGAAGACAGTAAGGCAGTATGAACCTAATAGCAAGACAAAAGACTGATTTGTCACTCCAAAATCATAAGTTAATAATGTTAATAATTACTACAGAATAACGTTAATAATTACTTGATAAAGCCTTGCCTATACAAACTATAATTGAAGTTCATTCATGTGATTAACAATATAAACATTTTCTTGAATTTCCTGAATTTCCTTAAAGGACCTGTGCTTAGAAATCTTCTGATGGTCTGAAAGAAGAATGCTGCTGGATTTAACAGACAGCTACAGTTAGTTATGGGCCTGGTTTTGGTCTGACTCTATATCTCTATTGACAGAAAAGGTGTTGGCTGCGGAATTTTCCCAAACAAAGTGATTTACAGAATATCAAACAATTATTGGAGGAACAATTTTATAAAGAACTTTTTTTTTCCTAAAAATTAAGTTACTCCTGATATTAAGTTCAGAGTGTAGGAGTGTCTATGTCCATAACGCTTTAATGTTAATCAAAAGTTAAATTTTAAAATTGAACTTTACATTTTAGAATTTTACCATGTTGACATAACAACTTCAGTTGAAATTAAGATTAAAGAAGGTTAAAAATGGAGTTTGACTCTCAGATGACTGTAGGATATGTGAGGGATACTTAAGATATTCGGGATACTTAAGAGCACCTCTCACATTCTCTTGAGATAGGTGAGCATGACATGTTTGAAATTGTAGGACTGACATGATCCAATTATGAAATATTATCATAATTACAATTATATACTTATTTATAATAATATATGAAATTGATAACCATATATCTAGAATAACATACAAAAAAATACGAGAAAATAGCCTTAAACACAACCATGCCCTTGCTGTAAGGAAATATTAAGAATTTTTCTTTTTTTTGCATGCCTTCAACAATCTAATGCAGAGCATTTGGAAATGATGGGAGTTCAAAAAGGAGAGGGGACTGGAGAAAGCAGTTGTATGAATTTATAATGTCTACTTTGTATCTTTTTGATCTACAGAAAGATTTAGCTAAAAAGCTTTAGTTTTTACTGTTATAAATCTTAAGAAAATAAAACGTGTCATGGAATTTACTTACACATTAGTGGTAAAAATCCCATAGATCAAGTCCAATTCTGGCAGGAAGAAAGTGCTCTGTAGTTCGTTGTAGTAAAACGGAATTTCTCCCGGGCGAGAGCAGTTGAGACGAGCTTTCATGAAGGTAGTCCACGTGTCCTCCAGCACAAACTTGCCACCGATATCGTTTTTACACACCCGAGCGGCACGAGAGAAGACTGTTTTCCCACAGTCATGCTCCACTGCGTTCTCCCGAAAGAAGAAGTAGGTAAAGTTCCCAATGTCATAAGACGACACAAAATTTGGCTCTGAAAATAGTCAAATAAAAAATTATGCAGTGTGTCCCACTGACATAAGTGGTCATATTAACATGACAGTTAGATTCAACTTCAGGCATTCATACAACATAAGAGACTTATCGGCTATGTTAATCTGATTTTGCTTTGTCACTACTCCTTTATTTCAGATTAACAGAATAACCAACCACTGCGTATGACTAAGAGTGTGCCCAGTCACTTAAATAAGGAGCGACTTCTCAGCTGGCATTTGACAGCAAAGCAACCACACTTCAGTCCTATCTCATTTAAAATTTTTGATAGTTTTATGTTTTGAAAAATACGAAAGAAAAGTGATGGTGATGCATCATTTTTTTGGATGTAAAAATTATTATACAGAATACACACACACACAAAATATAGAGCCTGTATACACACACACACACAACAAAAAGGCCATGAAAAGACAGATATTTCTTAAAAGTAAAAATGGGAAACAACAGATAATAAGTTGATATCCTATTTCCTATAAGGATTACTAAAACTAAAGAGTTCATGAATGTAAGAGAGAATGACAACTTGATGAGTTCTCAAATGAAAAGCAAGTTAAATAAATGAACATGCAATACAGCAGAGGGGTCATGATAAAACACTATTTTCCCTGCAAAACTAGCATTTTTCTTTTCATTCCAAATTTTATTATTCTAACATACAAAAGGCCGGCAACTCAACCTGAATTAATTATGCTTATCCTCTGTAATACAAAGGGTCAAAGGAATTTATTAGCATTTCACATGTAACATTTATTAGCAGAAGAAACATGTCTTAACAGCACCGTTTTATTGAAAAAGCTGCTGTAACTGAATCAAACTTTTCCTAGGAACACATGAGATGTGTCAAAACATGGTGGGGGAACTAGGTTACCAATTTACCTAGTTTTCCTTGAGCTTGTCTGTAACTCACTCCATTTTTCTGGAAGTCAGCTCCCCCAAAGGATTTACCTGGGAGTTGGCACCCAAGGGGCTTTGCAGTAAAATCCCAAAGAAAGAATGGTTTGACAAGATGGGTGGTGGCAAGAAAGACAAATTTACGCTAATTAGTAACGGTTTCCCTAACGGAACCTCACCTCTTCATTCCACGTGTATGTAAAATTTTCATTACAATAGGAATTTTGCTTCAAAGGCTTCAAAAACCTTTCAACTTAATTATTTGAGCTTACAGAACTGTAGAAATAATTCTTAGCTGCTCACCTGTTCCCATTCTTTTAAATATAAAATGTAATACTGTTACATATATACATCTTGAACACTGAAAGTAGAGGAAGCTGAAACAAAAACCTTACTTTTTAACTCTGTTAAAATTTTCTTCTGTAAAAATGAGCTTCATGCAGAAAAGGTAGCAGCAGAATGATACATATTTTAATGGCCCCTATGCATAATTACAAGTATTAATACTGAAACGACGTCAGTATGTTGCTGAAAAAAATTAATCACATTTAGGCTAGAGAGTTTTGGAAGGCATGAAATGCAAATAAATATCAATGGATACATGTATGCAAGGTTATATAATTATTATAAACCTTAACGATGTTTCAATAATTCCACAAAATATTAGAGTTTTGAATTCTACTGAACAAAAGTATTTAAATAAAACAGGCTAAAAGTAAAATCTTCTTAAGAATACCAGGCTAATGAATAAAAGAACCCTCTGTTTCTCATTGACCAACTTCAGTATATCCATAACACATTTAGACATTTTTCTCCTGATTTGTAATGTGTGTTACTTTTCTGCCTCACTCTGAATAATATTCCATTAGAAAGTTTTTACACTCATTGAAGAAAGAAAAGGAATTCCTCAATCTCAGTGTAGACTTGAGCTACTTGTCCACAGTATTTAAAGCAGAATAGACTAACAGTAGATGGTGGAAAAAATAAAAAATAAAAGTCACCTGAAATAGCAAGGAGAAAAAAAGATTTTCTAAGTGCCTTTGATGTTTCATAGCCTAAAACCATACTAGCTCTTTGAAAATAGCTCAGAAGAGCTCCAAATAACTTGAATGAGTTAAAAAAAAAGCTACTTATTGGGCAAATATTCACCATCAATTTGTTCCACCTACAAAAAAATTCTGCAAAAAATTCTCCCATTAAACACATTTGACCTAGCTCTGTCAATCTGACCAGCTGATGCTTCTTCTTGTTGGTGGCTCACTGAAATAAAAAGGTCTCAACATTGCCACAAGATCTCATTCCAATGGCAAAAATTGAAGATTTTATGAGTTGGGTACTGGAAGTACCCAAGGGGTGAAGAATTATGAACTATGGATAACATGTACATGAACTGTAGGAATAAAGCGATATGAAATGCATTCAGAATATTTTTAGATTTCTTGAATAATTCCACATCAATCTTCCATACTGTAATAATTTTAAATTGCACTGACAATCACACTACATGTCTGAACAAAAGCTAATAATGATATTTCATTGATTCCAATCTGAGAAATGATATGTACATCTGCAAACACCTGTGTGCATGCTTCACTGATTACAAAATGCTGCAAATGGGACCCGCTGTTGAAACTTGTGAGAGCTGCTTCCTTTTGCATGAAATGTAATAATCTCAGAGCTACCTCGGGGAATGTGGGGGATACTGGAGGATTATTGTGTCACACTTCATTGATTTCATACTCTCTTGGGAAAAAACAAACCAAATCACTTCAAAGTTCCAAGGGAAAAAGGGAGATTCTTCTTTAGGAAAAATTAGTTCATATTTCCAAATATTGTGCTGTGAACTGCTGTTTGTTGACATGGAGGCGTTCTTCTCACAAACCTTTTTATTATAGGAAACAAAGTGACTGAAGCCTAAAATAAGGAAATCTAAGCACCAAAAGTGCTTTATTTTCTTTCACCTTACTAACGTTAATGAAGTCCATTCCCTGTTTGGGTTTTGCCGTCTCAATATTTCTTTTTTTTTGCTAGGTGTGTTTATTAATGTAGTCCAGCTGTTGGAGAACAGTACAGACCTTGTTTCAGGGTGACCCAGCTATTGTTACTCATAAATACGTACAGGCAAATCTTAATCCTAGAGCGAATTTTTCCTCCAATGCTAATCACATGTAAAGTAATATATAACTTGGAGTCAGCATAGTTAAATACATCTTCAGGAGCTGAAAAGTGAAGTCCCAATATAAATGGTAGAAATTTTTTTATTATTAAGAGCTATTTTTCCTCTGTATTTCATAATCACTAAGATACATGCTTAAAATGCTAATCTGGTATACTATAGCTGGGTAACATCTATTTTGACTACTCTTTCTCCTGCAGTGCCTCAACTCTTACTAATTTTTTTACAATCCTTTCTTTTTTGCTAAATTGAAGATTTTATGAGTTTGAAAGAACAAGGGCTGCAAAACACACTAAAAATATGTATACCAGGCTTCTCTCCCTCCCTCCTCATCTTCTCTTAATATTGCTTAATATTTAGAAGAATATTAATATTCTTCTAAAATATAATTCATTATAATCATAAAAGTAGATGCACTCATTACAGTTTACATTTTACTGATGTACTCTAATAAACTCTGAAACACAATTATTTCTTTTCTGAAAAGAGGCTTTCAAAACCAGTATTAAAAATTTTCTTTTGTATAATCCATTGTTTATTGCAGAGAAATCTACTTGGTTTTCAAGCTGAAGTGTTCTTACATGGCATGACATTTTGCAATATATAATACCATTTTGTTGATGCAAACTTGCCAGTGGTAGAAATTCAGGAATGGGAGCCCTTCTCTACTCTGTGCTACCAGCGGCCTTTGAGTCACCTGCGTTCACTGGAGAGACACCTTGTGCAGCAGCACTAGGGCTGGGGGGAATATTCAGGACCATCTCCATGCCCTCAGAAGCTCCAGAACTACATGCTGCATGGATCCATCGAAAGAGGCCGAAGTTTGAATGCTTACTACGGACTCAGACTCCTAGCTATCCAAAAAAAAAAAAAAAAATTAAGCAGATTTTGCCAAGTAGCAAAATTTCAAATCCACTGGGCATTTCCATCCAATTTTAGGCTGTTGGCAAAGATGACTATGCACCCAAAGAAACAGAATCAAGGTTAGGAGTGATATAACTAAGGCAAAATAATTATTCATCTTTTTGCAAAACAAGCGACGACTGGTAGCACACACTTTACATATCAATCAAGTCTCTTATCTGAAAACAGAAGACAAAATTGCACATTGCCAGAACACACTATTTTTGAGTTATGTAAAGTATTGCATAATAAGAAAAGCTCATCATAGGTAATTACAGGTTTTTCACTAAAAAAAAAAAAAAAAAAAAAAAAGATAACCCTGAATTATTACAACCATTTCCATTAATCCATAAGGAAAAGTGAAAGGATTAATCTTGATCTTAGCTGGTAATTTCTCTCCACACATCTAGCTACCAGCAGGAGTTATAATAAAAGTGCATTAACAAACCATAATCAGAAATGGATTCAGAGCTGCATTAAATCTCTCTAACCAAGCTATCATGATGGTAATTGTACTGTTACTAGCAGAGCCTGAAAGTTATATGTCAAATACTTTTAAAAATGCTCTCTAAAGAACTATTGAAGATGGATAAGAACTAAATACTTAGAGCATCAAGAGGGAAAAGTGATAAAATTATGTCTACCAGCAGAGCAGAACATCCCAAATACTCCTATGGTCTTCTTAACTAGAGAAACTTCTGATCTGTTTGTTTTTGTTGCTGTTTTTCCTTTTGGAAAAATGCTACAAGACATCACTTTAATCATCCACGGTCTAACCACAGGACTTATACATTTAAAATTACATTTTTATTTCTTTTATTTGTTATTTCACATGTTCCAAGAGCATCTGCCATTATAATCTAAGACTGGGAAACCAACAAAATGCATTTCAGAGTAGTTAGAAACCCAAGCAGACTTAATATATAATTGTAGGCAAAGGAATCTGGCAAAGAATGAAACCAAATGTCCAAGTTCTTCTCAGGATGATGAAATAGGAAGAGAAAAAC